TTCAAACCCCACATCTGTGCCATGCCTTTCCCGCCTCCGCCACTGCCTTTCCCCACTCAGGGCTGCCGAGACCCTCATTCATGTAATCTTCAAGTCCAGGCTTGACCACGCTCCCTGCTCCCCAAACTCCCCAACTCGTCCCTCCACAAGCTGCAGATTATCCAGAACTCTGCAGCTCGTCTCTTCTCCCATACCAGGCTCCGTGAACCTAATTCCCTGCTCCACCTTCCCCACCCTGCCTGCCCCATTGGCAGTTTTCAGTCTTCAGCTTTTCTGTCCCCACCCTCTGGAACTCCATCCCGAATCCCTCCACCTTACCCCCACCCTTGTCTCCTGAGTTGTCCTTTCTCCCTCACATCCGCGCCACAACTGGCACCGCCTTCCATCACCTCCGTAACATCGCCAGACTACGCCATTACCATTACCTCATGCTGCTGAAACCCTGGTCCACGCCTTTGTCACCTCAAGGCTGGACTATGGGAAATCTCTCCTCGCCGGCCTTCCCGCCACCTCCCTCCACACTGCAGGTCATTCAGAACTCTGCAGCTTGTGTACTGTCCTGCACCAGGCTTCGGGACCACATCACTCCCACCCTCGCCCTCGCTAGCCTCCACTGGCTTCCCATCCCCCAGAGGATTGATTTCAAGATCCTCATCCTCACCTACAAGGCCATTCACGGCCTCCCTCCCTCCTACCTCTCCAACCTACTATCCCCCTACCTACCTGCCCGTACCCTCCGTTCCTCCGGCTCCGGTCTGCTCCACGTCCCCCGCCCCAATCGCCCTACCATTGGTGGTCGGGCCTTCAGCCTCTCAGCCCCGAGGCTCTGGAACTCTATCCCCAGTGCCTTCGCCGCCTCCTCCCTTTCCTCCTTCAAGGCCGGTCTCAAAACCTTTCTCTTTGACCGAGCCTTCAGCTCCCCTCTCGACTCTCTTCCCCTTTCTCGCTCCCTCCCACCCTCCCCTCACCCTGACCATTTCCCCCTCCTCGCTCCCTCCCCTCCCCTCACCCTGACCATTTCCCCCCTGCTCGGGTCATGACCCAACTGTGCAGCGCCTTGGGACGTCCTCCTGACGTGAAAGGCGCTTTATAAATGGAATCTTGTTGTTGTCTTGTTGTTGTTTAGGTTTCGTCTCCTTGGAGCTGAACAGGCTCGAAGATGAAATGCTTGCCAATGGAATCTCAGAATCGAGCCCTCTGTGACGGTTTCTAATCTGGTTCCTGAGGCAGGTGGTTCCTCAGTGTTCCATTGGACTGCTGATGACAGCATAGCCAACCTGGCCCAACGGCAGGATCTGGAAGGACAGACCAGTCACTGGGGGCAGGGAGTCATCCGACTCAGTTCCTATTAACCCTGCAAGCCAAAGCCCTAACGGTAGGGTTGTCCTAGCTGGACAAACAACGGGAAAGCTTGCCAGACAGCATCATCAATGGTAATATGTGGTTTCAGTTGGTTAGACTCCAGCAGTTACCCCAACACACACTCTGGAGTCCTCAAGCCTTGGGTCTCATCAACCTGAGCCTAATACTTTCCGGAATTAGGTAAGCAGTCTGCTTTCCTCCAGGGAGAGAGAGAGTGCGTTCCATTCCAACAATCAATCTCTGGGATTTCCGTGTGTAGGTGGGATGTATGGAATTCTCAGTTTGGTTTGGATAACTCTTAAGGATGGTGATGTGTTTCCACATGTGTCAGACAGCTGGCTGATCAAAAAAAAACCTCCTTCAAGACCTGTCTCAAGACCTTCAAGGCCTCAGGACTTTTCTGTTCTCAAGGTTTACTAACTCCCTATTCGTTTGTTTTGTTAAAACTCAGGGAATTAATTTTGAGGGCTGAGCCAAATAAACTGCTTCTAAACCTGTCTCAACCGTGCAAATGAGTAACAGTTCACACATTCTTCTGAGAATCCTTCAGGAGAAGAAACTATGAGGGTCAGGAAAAATGTTAAAAGATTTTGTACACACAATCTTTTAACATACACACAGTTTCTGCTATACACACACACACACACATACACCCATCCACACACGCATACAACGCACTTTTTCAGGGAGAGGGGGTGGTGTCTGAACACACTGAAGTACATCATTGCTGAATATACACACACATACAACACTCCCGTATGTGTAATACACACTATATTCCTGATGTACAACAATCCTATATATTATTACATAGATTAACTAAAATAATAGAATCTTACAGCACAGAATGAGGCCATTGACCCATTGTGCCAGGGCCCACTGTTTGATAGAGCTGTCCAATTCGCTCCACTCCCCCGCTCTTACACATAGCCCTACAATTTTTTCTTTTTCAAGTATCTATCCAATTCCCTTTATTATCGAATCTGTTTTCAACATCTTTCAGGCTGTACATTCCAGATCGTAAAAACAAACTGGGTAAAAAACATTCTCCTCGTCTCACCTCTGATTCTTTTGCCAATTATTGTAAATCCGTGTCCTCCGATTACCGACCCACCCGCTAGAGGAAACAGTTTTTCCCTAGCTATCAAACCCCCTCAATTTTTTTTAACACTTCTATTACAATAACAAACAACAAGTTACTTGTATAGCACTCGTCACATCGGAAAGATGTTTCAGGATGCTGGACAGTCAGAGTTTTTTGAACCCGAGCAGGAAGTTGGTGTCAGAGGGGTGGAGGGCAGAGTGGCCAAAGAAACAGTCGAAGAGGGGTGTCTGAACACACCGAAGTTCATCATTACTTTAGACAGGACTTGAAGGAGGCAAGAGAGGGGTGAGGCAGAGGGATTATAGGATAGAGCTCCAGAGTGAGGGCAGAGATGTTGAATGCCTGACCACCAATGGTGGGGCGGAAAGTGCAGGAGACCTGAAGCAGTCTGGTGTCCGCTGAGCGGAGGGAGCTGACAGGCTGACATGGGGTTAGGAGTTTGGAGGAGGGGGTGGGGGTGAGGGGGGAAGTCTGTTGAGGGCTTTGAAGGTGAGAACAAGGGTTTTATACTCAATTATCTGAGGATGGAGAGTCAGTGAAGACAGGCAAAAATGGGGATGATTAAATCTCCCCTCAATCTTCTCCGCTCTAAGGAGAACAATCCCAGCCTCTCCAGTCACTTCACATAACTGAAGTCCCTCATCGCTGGTATTTTTCTGCTAAATCTCCTTTGTTATTTTTCCAGGCGGACCTTGTATTTTGTAGGTTGTGCTCAGTGTTAAGCTCAAATATCTTAGATAAAGATTCTGTAAGGCAGACACTGTAGGGATTGCAGCAACTGTCTCAAATTCAGAATGACAGTCAAGCAGAGAAGCTTGTGAAATGACATTCGTAGATATACTAGTGCAGAGAGAAGACCATCATCTATTGTGGCTGTGCTGTGTCAGCTATCCAGTGGAGGTATCTCTACTTCAACGCCATTTGTTCGCCCACAAATATACAGTTAATTCACTTTACAGTGTGTTCTGTGAAGCGCTTTGGGACGTCCACCCGATGTGAAAAGCGCTATATCAAATGCAAGGATTATTATTATTATTATTATTCTCCTGCTCCTTTTGCACATATTTATACCTTCAGTCTTCCAAGTTCCAATTCTTTTTCCAATTCTCTTTTAAACACAGTTAGTCAGTGGTCCACCTACCTCATATCCCTTTGTGTAAGAATTCCAGCAGTAATTACTCAAATATTTCAATAGTAAAAGATTATTGATCCTAAGGTGTTTCATTATATTTCTGCCAGCAACATGTAAATGTAAATCACAGACCTAAAATTCCTCCGGCTTTTAACACTGAAGCCTGCAGATTCTAAAGATCTTCACACAAGCTGCATATCATCCAGAACAGCTTGTGTTCTCTCCCACACCAGCCTCTGTGACCCCATCACCCCCAACCTCGCCCGGCTGCATGGCTCCCCTCAGAGAATGGAGGTCAAAATCTTCGATCTCACCTTCAAGGCCCTTCACGGCCTTACCCAGTCCTACCTCTGATCTGCTAACCCCTTATGAACCTGTCCATTCCCTCCTCCGATTAGCAGGCTGTGGCCTGCTCCACATGTCCCACCCATCCTGCCCCACCATCAGCGGTTGGGCCTTCAGCCTCTCTACCCCAGCTCTTTGGAACTCCATCACACATTTCCTTCACCTCTTGTCTCCACGTCCATCTCAAGACCCTCCTCTTCGACCATGCCTTCAGTCACCCTCCTAGCCCTACCTCCTGCCCTCCATTCCTCTGGATGCCAAATATCCTCCCCACCAAGCTTGGGTCCAAATCTCTGACGATCCAGCACCTTGGGACATCATCCCGATGTGAAAAGCGCCACACAAGTGTAATTTTGTATTGTATTGTAACCCTCAGCAGGATTTTAGAAGTGTTTTCTGCAGACCTTAATTCTCCCTCTCCCCCCTAAATTAATAATATACCATTTTATATAACGCCTTTTCATGTCTTTGAGATGTCTCAAAGCCCTTCACAGAATACACAACAACAACTTACATTTATATTGCGCCCTTCACTCGGGGTAGCGTCCTGTAGTGCTTGACAGTGGTGGAGTCTGACACCGAGCCAGGGGAAGATGGAGGGAGGATGTGACCAAAAGCACGATCAAAAAATCGAGGTGAATTGACTGTATATTTTGTGGGTGAAAGGAGATAGCCAATTGCGTACAGCGGTGTCCCACAAACAGTCGTGGATTGAGTGACCAAATTATAATTTAAAAAACAAATTATTTTTAAAAGGTATTATTACCCCAAGGAAAGCAATCCTCCAATCGACTAACATCCAGGTTCTTATTTACTGCTAGGTAAACATAAGCATGTGGAGTAAGGAACTTGCCTATCGTTTCTCCCTTCCTGGGAATTGAACCCAAGTCCTCTCGCTTGCGGTAAGTACTCTAACCAATATGGTACAGGACTCTACAAATTAACACAGAATAGAAGAACTTTTCAATATAACATTTTAAGAGAATGGTTTTAATGCTGAGAGAGAGAAAGTGCAAGAGAGAGACCATGAAGAATTTCATGTGTTTTAGAACTTACTGAATGAAGCTAGCAGGTTTCTGTACTCGAAACAGATTCAGGAGGTCATTCAGTCTGTTCAAGCCCATTTCTTCATGATGGATCTATCAATAATAATAATACTTACATTTGGTATAATGCCTTATCACATCATTGAGACATATCAGTGCTTCACAGGGATTACTGTGACTGTAAATTTAGAAGTGAATGCGGTGGCCAATTTGTGAACAGCAATGTCCCACAACCAACCATGAAGTGAATGACAACCTTTATCTAAGGGATGTTGGCCATAGCACTGAGAGAAACTCCCTTCTCTTTCTGAGTATTGTCATGGGATCTTTAATGTCCACCTGAACAAAACATTTGTCTCATCCAAAGATGGCACATCTTTGGCACGTTTATGGTTAAAATATTTAAACTAGGGTCCCATCTGCTTGCTTAGGTGAATTTTAAAGATCTTATGTCTCTATTGGAATAGAATTTCTTTGATATCCTAGCCAATAATCCTCCAAATAGAACTGAATGTTCGTTCATGGCTGATGTTGCTGTGCACAAACTGGGCGCCACATTCACTTACAAATACAGTTACTACATGACAGAAAAAGTACGAAGGGTTTTGGTGACATCAACATTATACATACTGTATCCCACCCAGCTCGACTCCCAGCCCCAACTCAGTTGGATATCTAGCATTGCCAAGAGCTTTGTTATCTTACTGACGTGAAAGATACTGTATAAATTTAAAATTGTAATATATATAAAATGGAAGGATCGTTAATTTACGTCAATGGTTTTAGGCTAAGAACATGAGTCATCTCAAGCCTCAGATTTGTGCTTGTTCATTTTTTTCTTTCATTTCCCTCTCGTGAAATTATTTGCCACACAAAATAAAGACTTGTGAGCATTTCTAAATGCTGAGAGTGCTATCTGATACAGCCCAGCAGAATCAATCACATTGTATTCCTTTGTCTTGACCGTCCAGATATGTTATCTGCTCTGGATTTCCATACAACTCCATTCTCCTGGTAAAAATAGTATTGATCAACTTAACCAGGTCCCGAGGACAGTGAAACATAGCACACGAGTAGGCTATTCAGACTTTCAAGTCTGTTCCATCATTCTATAAGATAACGGTTGATCTGTACCTCAAGTCCAGTTACCCGCCCTTGCCCCATATCCCTTAATACCTTGACCTAACAAATATCTATCTATCTCCGTCTTGAAAATGTGAATGGATCCAGCAGCCACCAGTTTGGGGGAGTAATTGCAGGTTTCCATGACCCTTTGGCTGAAAAAACACCTCCTAATTTTATTCCTAAATGGCCTAGTTCTAATTTTAAGATTACTCCACCTTGTTCTGTATTCCACTACCAGAGGAAATAGTGAAGCTGCTGCTGAAACCTCATGGAAATCTGCCCTAACATGCGAAGTGCAGAGATCTGAATTAGAGAATCTGATCATCATCTGAATTTGATCTGAAGACTAATAGTAATTATTGAACTCGATACAGCGCCTTATCGCATTGTTTATTCTAAAAGTGCTTTACTGACAACAATGCTAACCCCACTTACTAAACCGAACCCTAACTAACTATTCAATATAAAGTGATGTGACTGTGTGCAGCCAATTGGCACACTGCAATTTCCCACAGTCATGGAGTGAATGACCAATTTTATCTGGGGGATTGTGGCCAGGTCACCAGGAGAAACACCCTTCGCTTTTTGAATAGTGCCATGGGATCTTTGATGTCCACCGGGACAGGCTTAATATCTCAATTGCAGGACAGTACCTCTGACAATGCAGCATTACCCCCCCCCCCGCACTGTATTACTGTGTCAGTGTAGATTATATGGTTCCCAAATTCTGATGTGCGGCTTGAACGCACAACCTTCTGTCTCAGAGGTAAGTGCACTACAGATTGACACCTCGCTCTTTGAACAATTTAAAAGTAGTCAAGATTTCAGACCAAATAGTAGAAATTTGGAATCCTTTATTATTCCATATGCCACAAAAGGAGAAAGAACATTATGTAAATGAGGTAAAATCCCCATATAGTTGGGGGCTACAATTGTGCCTCAGCATCCCTTGGTTAAGGAGGAAAATAAATCAGATAGGCTTATTGTTTCTTACCACAAGCTTGCTAGAATTGTTCTGAAGTGCTACTCACATGAAGGGCACTATATAAATGCAAGTAGCCGTTAAAAGTATGGTTGTATGTTTGACGGGAAGGCGGTGTGAATGTGAGACGAGGACAGGAATAAACTCAGCTGTGACCCTCCACACTGCAGGCAATCAGTGTCCCATTGCTCACTATTAAAGTTCACATAGGAAGACCTTGGGCGAGGTAGCAGAGAAAGACATCCCAAGCATCCTGCAGATCAACCCCTTCCAAAAGGACGGGAGAAACAAAAGGAAAAACATGAACTGAAAAAATATTACATAAGAAAATGTACAACCAAAAACACATCTAGTTCTCTAATCTTTCTCACATTATGCTATAGCCTTGCAGCTCAGTGGTTAGGGCATTCGCTTGGCAAGCAAGAGACCTGGGTTCGATTCCCGGCAGGACGAAACCTTAGGCAAGTTTTCTTACCCACACGCCTGATAATCATCCCTCAATAAAAAAAAACAATAATAAATTGGTCACTTTGATCCAAGACTTTTTGTGAGACACTGCTGTGCGCAATTGGCTGCTGCGTTACGCCCACAAAATATACAGTTAATTCACTTTACAGTACATTCTGTGAAGCGTTTTGAGACGTCTAGAAGATATGAAAATACAAATACAAGGATTATTATTACTCTCGGGACACGTAAGTCTCATTTGTGTCATTATTTTATGCTTGTAATTGCAGAGAAAAAGAACAGCAACAGGAATCTGGATGTTAGTGAAGATAGCAAGAATTGTGGCTTGGCTGCGATGGCGCCTTTGGTGAAATAACCTGACAAACTTGCTACTGAGCCTCCCATGTTGAGAATGGCTGCCTGGGGAAGTGTGCAGTGGAGGTTGCCAAATGGTTGAGATGTGTGAAATACAAGTCATATTTTCGCCGGTGGCCTAGTGTTGCGACTTAGAAGCTTGTGGCTTTACAGGTCTGGGTGATGAGTGGAGGTATTTTGGATATGTTTCACCTTGCTATGCATTTACTCTTATTATAATAATAATCTTTGCATTTGATATAGTGCTTTTCATGTCTTCAAAGCGCTGCACCGAATATATTGTAAAGTGAATTGACTGTATATTTGTGGGTGAAATATGGCAGCCAATTGCCAATTCTGTTATCTCACCATCCTGGCCCAAGGCGAAAGAGGGGTTTGGTTATTGGGTGTGCAATCATTGGCAGGAGAGCATCTCATCGTTGCAAAGCTTCAAATGCAAACATGTTTAGTTTTCTCATACTTATACTTCTCAAGTATAGCGTCTATCCTGATTGTTTCGCGCCAGCGCCTCTGCATCTCAGACTCTGACAACATCAAGCTCCATGGTTACACAGTACAACTCACCAAGCCTGTAAGGAATCTAGGTATCTTGTTCGACCCTCAACTATCTTTTCTCCCTCACATTCAAGCGATGACTTGTTCTGCCTTCCCTCACCACCGTAACATTGCCTGACTCTGCCACCACCTCACCCCTCAGGCCGCTGAAACTCTTGTTCATGCCTTCATCGCCTCCAGGCTCGACTATGCAAATGCTCTGCTTGTCGGCCTTCCCAACCCCTCCCTCCACAGGCTGCAGATAATCCAGAACTCTGCAGCCCGTGTCCTCTCCCGCACCAAACTCCGTGACCCCATCTCCCCCATTCTCGCCCGACTCCACTGGCTCCCTATCCTTCAGAGGATACAGTTCAAGATCCTGGTCCTCACATACAATGCCCTCCATGGCCTCGCCCCACCCTACCTCTGTGGCCTCCTAACCCCCCACCAATCCGCCCGCTCCCTCCGCTCAGCCGGCTCTGGCCTGCTCCACGTCCCCCACCCCAACCGCTCCACCATTGGTGGGACAGCCTTCAGCCGCTCTGCCCCCAACCTCTGGAATTCCATGCCATCGGCCACCCCTCTTCCCCTCCCTTACTCCCCCAACCCCAGCTCGGGTCTGAAATGCTGTACTCTGTCCAGCACCTTGGGACGTCCTCCCGACGTGAAAGACAATATACAAATGTAATCCTGTTGTTGTTGTTATCTGCTTATACTTTTCAAGTATAGCATCTTTATCTGCTTATACTTCTCAAGGATAGCGTAAGAAAGATTAGAGAAATAGATACTTTTTTTAAAATGTCGCCTGCCTCTCACTGCCTACCTGTAACTCAAACCCAGTGGCTAAACACAGCATTCTCCCTGTCTGCACTGAGGTCAACATCAAAAGAGACCTCTAAAACTTTCAAAGTTGTTCTCAAGAGCACAGGAAGGTCTCTTCTTCCCCCCTCACGATGAACTAGTGGTAAGCCACAGCCCGGTCAACAAGCAAAAGTAATAATAATAATCCTTGCATTTGATATAGCTCCTTATCACTTCTTCGAGACATCTCAAAGCACTTCACAGAATATACTGTCGAGTGAATTACTGTATATTTTGTGGCTGAAACATGGTAGCCAATTGCAGACAGCAGTGTCCCATAAACTATTATTATTTTTATTGAAGGGATTACTACCCCCAGAAAAGCAATCCGCCAATTGACTAACAACTGGGTTCCGACTTACTGCTAAAGCCTGTAGAGTAAGGAAACTTGCCTAACATTTCGCTCTGTATGGAAATCGAATCCTGGCCTTCTCGCTTGCAAGGCAAGTGCTCTAACCAATACGCGGCAGGACTCCATACAAGTACAGATAAAAAAAGGTTCACAGTTTGTGTTAACTATCTTAACCCATGTTACATTTGGGGCTACACTAGTCGCAATCCTTCGGAGGGAGAGAAGAAAACAAACACAGGGTTTTGCTCCTAGGCCTATTTTAAATTTTGCACAAGCTTAAAAAAATGTAAATCATTCTGTGCTCTTATTTTCTTTCACAGGATTGGTTTGCATGAAACAGATCCTTGGGCCCATCTGATCTCATCCTTCCAGAACACCTCTGTTACCGTCATCTCATCACAGCATCAAGCTGTTTTT